ATAATTTAATTAATATTTTTAAAATTAATAATTTAATTAAAAATTTTATTTATGTAAATTATATATATTAATTTTCAAATTAATTTAGTAAGCTTAATTAGTTTATTAATTATATAAAATTTAATATTATTAAATATATATTAATAAATAAACTATCTTTAGCCAAAGTATTATATATATTAGGTCAATTTAAAATTTAAAATATATGAATAAAATATTTAATATAATGATTAATTTTTAAAAATATTAATTATAAAATAAATTTTAAATAAATCCTTCAAAAAATTCGTAGAATAATCTACACTATAGTAATTCTATAAGTTTTATATCTAAATTTTTTATTATTTGTTCTTGTACTTTCTTGTACTTTAAATAAAAAAGAAACAAAAAAAAAAAAAGAAAAAGCGAACCAACCTTTAGACAAGTCATCTAAACCTCTTCGCCATCTTTTGTTCTACTAAAACATTACCGATATTGTTTGGTAATACAACGATTGATGCTCTTAATTATAAATTTAAATTTAAACTTTTAATTCCTATATAAAAATAAAAGAATTTTAATGGAGATAATAATTTTTTATCTCAAATAAAAGACAAAACATATTTTTCTAGTAATTAGGAGTACTTTGTAATCATAGATTTTCAAATCACATTTAAAAAAAAAAAAGAAAAAGAAAAAATAAAACCTAATTTTAAAGGTCAATGTTGTCAGCAAAATAAAATATGTCCAACCTGCTTTGGAGGACAATCTATTGTTTGATTGCGCGCTACTAGCTAACATATTGCAAACTCTTTAAATACAAAAATTACCATATTCCTAACAAGTAGCAGCTTAGAAATAAAAGTTTTATTAAACGTCTACTTATAAACACTGAAGCCTTCTATGGGGGTGAAACTTTACACACCGACACGGCACTTCAAGGCATTTAATGTCATAACTATGTTATAAGCTCTTTTGTTATTTAATTCCGCGAGATTGGTATAAGATAGGTTATTTTTTGATTTTTTTCTTTAAAAAAAAGGCCAAAGCCCCTATTTGTATCCTCCATTTATTTTTTTTTCGCGGTCAACACCTTCCGGAATTTTTTCTCCCTATTCACACCTTTCACCTTTCAAAACCCGTAAAAAACCTAACATTTTAACGGACCGTCACGGCACCGTTAAAAAATGCACAACGTGGCATCCAAAAATTGACGTGGCACATGCGGGTTTCCTTATTCGTTAAATTCAGACGTGGATTTGCTTTTTGATGATGTGGCTTCTTTTCTGCACATGTGGACGCCACATGTGCAATGGGGCCCACTGCACAGGACTTCTGCGTCCCCCCACTAAAAAAAAAATGAACAGGAGCAGTGGGGCCCACTGCACAAGACTTCTGCGTCCTTCCACCAAAAAAAAAAAAAAAATTTTGAACAGAAGCTCTGGGTTCCTCGCCGAACCTAGCTCTGGGTTCGGCGAGGAACCCATATCGGGTTCCTCACAAGGAACCCAGCTGGGTTCCTTCGGAGGAACCCGATCTAGGTTCCTCGGTTCCATGAGGAACCCAACTCTGGGTTCCTTGCGATGGGGAACCCAACTCTGGGTTCCTTGCGATGGGGAACCCAGATCGGGTTCCTCCCTCTAGGTTCGGGAACCTAGAGCAAATTTTTTTATTTTTTTATTTTTTTATTTAAGTAAACCACGTCATCAAAAAAGACATCCACGTTGAATTACTAACGGCATATATTGGCCACGTCAATTTTTGAGTGCCACGTAGTACATTTTGTAACGGTACCGTGATGGTGCGTTAAAATGTTGGGTTTTTTACGGGTTTTGAAAAATGAAATGTGTGAATAGGGAGAAAAAATTCCGGAAGGTGTTGACCGCGGAAAAAAAATAAATGGAGGGTGCAAATAGGGGCTTTGGCCTTAAAAAAATTATCTAAAAATTCATCTTTGAATTAATATTTTTAAAAATTGATAATTAAATTAAAAATTTTTTATTTACATAAATCATGTATGTCAATTTTTATATTAATTTAATACTTATAATCTTTTGATAAAAAAATTTTATTTACTAATATATATTTAATAGTATTAAATTT